CATTTATCTCACATTATCAACTTGACAAAAATGTTTACAAACATGCATCAGTACTTAGTCGATTGCCACTAGCATTTTTCAGTACTTTGACTCGTCCTGGCATGGAATTGATGAGTTCTGCAACTTTCTCCTGTACGATCTGGACTAGGCAGCATGCAAAACATCAAGTAGCTCTCCACGGTTTTCTGGAACTTCTTCTCACTGCTCGAGCAAGTATGGCCCAGACATGCTCGATGGGTTTAATATCAGGTGACTGACTTGGCCATGGAAGCCATTGGATGCCTTTCTTAATTAAATGACTATTGAATAAATATCATGGTGTCTATTTACTTTTGAGATGTCTCTGCAGATTACTAAGCTGAATCTTCAGAGAAGCTCTTGTAAGTAAAGTCACAACAAAGTTTACAGTGAGTGTAAATTCACTTAATGAATCAATATTGCAACCTACTTATTTTAAGATCAATATTATACTTTAGCAATAAACATAGGCTTAATTTTACATATATTGCTAATTAATAATGCTGCTCCATCTTCCTTAGCTTTAATTTTGGACTTTTTGGTTTGTGTGTGTTCTCAAGCTATTCAGAATGGCTGTAGGGGTATAAACCTTGGTGAGAAGTTAATAAAGCTGTGTGATTTAAACTAAATTCACAGCATATCAAACACACTTTCCTACCTTAATTAATCGGTCACCTACACAAAGTTTTCCTGAGTTTGCTGCTGTGCTATTAGGGACAATCTAAAAAAAGATAACAAATCAGCTTTATTATACTTTTGTTATATTTTGAACAACTTTCATATAAATCAGATCAAACACTATCGCAAATAAAAAAACTCTCACTTCACACTACAATATTCAAAGTTCAAACTACAACTCTAATGAACAAAACTCAGTGCATAAGAACGGAAAATTAAATAGATTTCAACAAACCCGACTGGAAAATAACACTAAAAATTGAGATATACAGAACCTTAAATATAAAGTAGACACTCAGCCTTTTTAGAAAGGTACATTATAAACCAAGACAATTAAAAAGAAACAAGCATGCAAAGTGGATGTTTATCTTTCATGGATAAAAAATTTGTTTAAAACTTAAGACTTCATTTTAATAATTCATTAAATTTTTCATTCTTTAAAATTTGTGATAAATATGATCAAGTACTTTTTTGATTAACATATACAAAGTTCCATATTTTAAAGTTTATTCATGTTCTGTTATTTATTATTTGGTCAAGTGAGCCTTTTCCTACTTTATTTTTAAAGCTTCACATTACTATTAAGGTATTTGTTTGTTTAAAATTAAATAAGTAATCAGAAAAAGGCCATCATATTGAGTTGGTGCTGGGTGAATATAACAATGAAACAAATATGAGTTAAATCTGTAAATAAGGAAGCAACAAAAGAAAATAAGAAGCATGGTGGTATGGTTGAAATAGTAAACATTTCACTTATTTACAATATTCATTTTCAAATGGACTTCAAGTGTAAGGATTTAAAAAAACAAACAAAACATGAAGAAGTCTGAAAGACAACACCCCAAGTTCAGAATGATGGGACCTTGTATGCCATACTCAACCTGAGGAAACATAACTCATCTGGTCTGGAATTATGAACACCCACCTTCACTTCCCAACTGAGCAGCAAGCTAAATTCTTCTTGTTTCCGGAATTATGGGGAGGATGTGGAACAAAATGTGCTCGACCAAGGAACTTGGATGGGACCACTCAGTGTTTGGAATTACGAGGACACAATGGACCCTCTTCCATGAACAATAACTGTTGATCAAAAAGAAAGGCCAGGCTCAACCCAATTGGATAGCCAAGCATCAAATCTGAACCAGTATTACAAGAATGCATCCATTGCCAAAGCCCGAGGGTGAGGTACTGGAGACCAAATTGTCAGTAATTGGGTGTTTCAATGAGTGGTCAACCCACCAATCATCAGTGTTTCAATGAGTGGTCAACCCACCAATCATCAGTATTTCAAAATGAGAGCCAATCCAACAGAAAACCATGCAATGTTCAAAAACAAAGAGCCCTGGACCAAGTGCCCCCTTGATGGGAAATGCAAGACACCACCGTAAAATTGTCAGAGTGAAACCTGACAATTTTCCCCTTAATAAGCCCAGACCCTGAGACATTGCCTTTTGAAGAGCAAGAATGTCTAAAACATTGTGTAGGAAAGCCTTGTTGTCTGTGCATAGACCCTGGAATTTCTGACTGTGGAAATATGCACCTTATCCCTGAAGCAAGGTATTTGTGAAGAGATGGATCTCTGAATGAGGTGGTGGCAAAGGAACCCATATCTTATTATTGTCCCGATCTAACAACCCCTCGAGATCAAACAGAATGATCCTGAATAAGGAAACTGGGAAACCAGGAGGTTGATGTTTATGATCCATTGGTCACATAAAGACCATTGAAAAGATCTCTTGTGTGCTCGTTTCAAAGGCATGAGGGATTTGAGTGATGCCCACATTCCCAAAAGAGAAAAAAACATTCATGCAGTGGGAGAAGGAGAGGTGAGTAAGAGTTGGGCTTCCTGTTCCACAGTATGGAGCTGGATGGGAGTCAGCTGAGCCCAACTGAGATATGTGATGAAAAAATACCCAAACTGACGAAATACTGAGTTTGAGCACGAATAGATGTCTTAGCTCTGATAATGAAGTCTACCTTGGTTGTTTCTGAAAGTATAATCCGGGTGTGACATTCTGACAATTGACGAGATGGTGCCAGCAGTAATCAGTTGTCCATAGAATGGTGTGTGCACAGGGCTAAGGAATGGTGATGATGAGAAAAAGCTTGTAACATTTAGCAGAATCCATGTGGTGCCCATGCTAGTCCAAAGGTAAAAACTCTGAACTACAGTACCTGACCCTTGTGCACAGGAAATGCCACCATTATGACAATTTGCATACTGAACCCACAGCTTCAATCAGGATTCAACAACAAAAACACAATTTATTCACAATAACAACACTTATCAAAACACAGTTAATAAACAAATGGACTTCACATCAATATTAAATAATAATTTATCATAAATATTAATAAATCAATAATAAATGAACCAGTAAAAAGAACCAGAAAGAAAAAATCTTATTCCAAAAAAAAAAAAATATAGCAATTACAATATTCAAACAATACCTTTCATTACCAATAACAATATTGATAACATCAAGTGACAAACAGCAGTAACTATACCCTTCAATAATTATCTTGTGACTATAGGAGCTGACTACATCAAACGTGGACATCCACAATCCTAGTAAATAAATCCAACTCAGAGTGAGGAATGAGTCACTTGTAAACCTTGGAGAATCTAGGCATTGATACAGATGAGAAAGATCGATGACTGGAAATCAATCTCCTGTGTTTCGGGCCCAACAAACTGACAGGAATAAAACTCCAGAAGAACTAGCACGACTCTCTCTCTCTCTATTCCCAGACCAACCAAACTCTGATAGTCCTAGAACTAAGTTCCAAAATCCAAGGATCTGCTGGAGACACAAACCCTACTGACACAAGGATCTGTAGTGCCCATAGATCTGTGGTTAAGGTTTATCACACTCCAGAAATTCTCAGAGCCGAGCCCCCACAGACCCCAAAGGCATACAATAGTCACCTCTGCCACTAACAGTGTTCTGACAGAGCAGCGGAACCCTTGGATGTGGACAGAATTTATTCTGGGTACCAATGGATAGAGGGGCTGATGTTGGGGTTGGAAACCTCAAATAGGGGCAGAATAATGACCCCCTGTAGGAACCAATGAAAGTCTAGACATCAACGACAACAGGGATGAATGTAGAAGCTGATAATCAAACCAATGTACATGCTAACAGTAGTTACAGCTCATCATCAATGGACTTGGTGATCATGAGAGTCTTCCAACAAAGTGTAGTTTTAGGAAAACAACACGTTGGACTTTAGAGTTATAAGTCCACAGACCTACCGCTGTCCCACCAGGAAACACTGATCTATTCAAGTTAACTACAAACTCTGCTCTTGAATCCCTAATTTCCAGGAGCAGATGTATTCTTTGAGAGTTGGAATATGCTTCCAACTGGTGGTGGTAGGTTAAATCACATAGTTCCGACAACCATGATGGATAAGGCATAGCTATCCCTTCCTGAGTGATCAGTAAACCTCCCTACATGAACCAAAATGTCAGTGGATGAAGGGGAAACTAAGTATTCACTCCCAGACCTTTCAGCCATCAAGTAAGTTGCAGGCTCAAAAGCAACTGAGGAAAGACCCAAAACATCACACACTTGATGGACCAACAGAAGAAAAAAGAGCCTGAGGCAGTTTATCCCAAGGTGGCCTCCTGAGAAGCCAACAGAATAAAAGAAGGCACAGAAAAAAGCCAATCTAAGTTCTCTCCAAAATGTCTAAAATCGCCATTAATTGCAGCCTCAGAGCCCCTCGGAAGAACACCACCAAACCGAATATATGTCTCCATCTCACTATGAATAAGATCACTAGATATCAGAATGCTAGATATTAGAGGTAGGATAGGAAAGATTTGTATCCATGCCAGAAATAATAATCTGGGAATTCATGCCATATATCAGCTTGCCAAATGAAAAAAAAATTTATTTTTTCATTACAAAAATCAACTATGTAACACAAAAAACACTTAAGGTATCTCCTAACAATCATAGCACAGAGAGACCCATTAATGAATGCTTTGCCGAGAAAAAGTGATAACATTATCTGAATGAGGTGCTTGTATATAGTACCAGGATAGAGGGCACATTGACGTAGGTGTCTCAAGACAAATATTGCCAAGGACAATTAAGTGGGGTATAAAAGAGCAGGCAAAAAATATCAGACCAATGCTTAGATGGGCAAAGGAAGAAACTCTGGCAGCCGAGTAATAGCTGTAATGTGAGAGGAAGTAAATATGTTTTGGAATATTATACAACAAAACATAATCAGGCAGAACACACTTATGTACATGTACCATATCTTTTAAATAAAAATTAAGTTTCAAAGTCATAGCAACTTAAACTCGTACATGTGAATATTAATAAACTCGAGTTTTTGTTTATACAAGTACTTATATTTAAATATTTAAAAACTCAATATAAAAGAAACAAAGTGTACCTTAGATATGAATATTCCAGGGGCACCACAGCCAAATGGATGACAAGGACGGTCTGAGCCACCAATAATACTAAGACCTAAAGGTCCTCCAGCTTTTATCAGTGTAATCTCCTGAAACAGAAAAAAAACAACAAAATGCAACATTTTTTACCTGTTGTATTTGTTAAGGAATAAAAAAGATTTTTACTTTTTGTGAAGTACTTATTGTGTACTTATTCTATTAAAACTTTACAGTGCTGTTAGCTATTTATATCTTTTGTCTTTCAAAGACATAATGTGCTTTTTAAAATAAATTACCAATACTAGAAATTAATCATTGGTGTCTGTCATGGTTATTTCTAAAGAAAGCACTTGACACAGCTGCAAAAGGCCAGGATGAGCCACTAACCCAAATGAACCAGATTCAAGGTGTAAACTTCCTCAAGCTCCTAGATTTTGAATATTTTGTATTAGCAAAAAATATTTTAAATACTTTTAAACAGTCAAAGGTAATTACCAAACTTATCTAAGCTCTCATTAATATTCATCTCTCTCAAGTGCAATTCTAAAACTAAATTTAAGTTAATAAGAACTCCATTAAATATAAATAAGATATAAACATTTTTAAAGTTGTTGGTAATACATTATGATCATAAAACATCTTATGTCAGATTACTGGGATGACTATCATTTATTATCAGCATAAACAATCTTGACTAATTAATCTGAATATCTCTTGCAATACAAGTTTAAAATTTACCTCTTTCATTATTCCTATTTGAAACAAAAGGAAAACATTTATTACATCCAAGTGGCTTGTGTCAACTTGTTACCAAATAGAATTTGGCTCCATAGATCTAAATCTTTGTGCATACAATAATGAGAATTAGAGGGCAGCTGATGTGTAACTCTTTCTTTTTATAAAAGTGCACTTGTGGTAGTTCGAGCTGTTAAAAATAAAAGTGCCTTACTATGGGGTTGACCTTTTAGTTCAGTTGGTAGAGCATTCACCTACAATGTAATAGGTCTCAGGTTCAAATCTAAACCAAGAAAATAATGAAAACTGAAATTACCAGCCCATGGCCCTGAAATTAGGCCTAATAAAGTGTCTCGGTTGTGAGAATGGATAGATGTGGTAGTTTGAGTTGTTAAAAAAGTGCCTTACTAATAAGTGATTTTTAGTTCAGTTGATAAAGCATTCGCCTCATGTGTGTGAGAAATTTTGGGTTCAAAACCAAGCTGAGGAAAATGGTAAAGAATGGTAAGAAAGTATAGCTCATACTCATGCTGCTTTAGCAAATATCTTGGTGTGTTAGTTTTTCTCTTTGGCTTTATGATATTTCTAAAAAACATATTTACAGTTATTTATTTAGCATTTACATCTCAATTTCATATGTGTAATGATCATCTTTGCTAATTGTGCTTTAATTGGAGGGATTAACTTGTACATTCTGAGGATTGCATAGTTTCCAATTTACAATCTGATCCATCTGAAAAATAATAACTAGCAACTGTTATACACATCACATAATATTGCAACAACAAGGTTCCATTAATAACATAACCTAAACATATCTAAAATGTTTGATAATCTATTTTGTTCAGTTACAAGTAAAACAACTCTGTGACAGTTAAAACATGGAAAAATTGATACCAAAAACTGTAAGTATTAAAAAAGCATTACATACAATGAAAATAATAATGTTAGTCATTTATTTTTGCCAATGATTTTTAAAATAACATTAAAAACATAGGAAAAACCGATTATATTCTTTTGCAAAGACTAGTGAAACTACTACTCAAAAAATATTTTCTGATACTTTATATAAATTTTAAGTTTCTAATATATTTTTTCTGTTTCTGAAAAAGACTATTAAAAACAATTTTTTTCACTTTGCAAAAACATTTTAAATTACCTTTTCTCTAATAAAATTTATTTCATTTACAAACATTCAATTCTAAATTCATTATGAAAGAGCAAAAACAGTTTAAATAGATGAGAATGAAAGAATTTAGATGGAAATAATTAATTACTGTTTTTTTCAGTAAAATGATGATCATCTAACATAAATACATTTCTTTTTATCTTTGGTGAGATACTGAATAAAAATTTATATTTAAACAGTATTAACCTGCAGACCTACTCTATTTTTATCATACCAAGATATTAAGATTTGGAAAAATATTTTTTCATATTTTCCTTTACATATATTTTATTTAAAAGTAACAATAACAATCAAATTTACAGATTTAATGACTTATAGAAGCAAAAAAATATAAAGTCAAAAACAGTATTTTTCATTACAGAACAGGTTCAGATAAAAAAAGGTAACTCACAAGAATAAAAAGAACAATGGTAAGGAAGGAGAATTTCACACAGACGTGAAATCTTACCTCTTCAAATTTGGGAAGAGCCAGAACATTCTTATTGACTTGGATATTAACATTTTCTGTAAATGCTGACTGGCTGATGGTTTCTTTGAATGTTCCAAGACTTTTAAGTGAAGTCAATTCTGATCCTACCAGTACAGAGGGCTCTTCTTGCCGAATGGCTACTGCCATTTGAGAGTCATTTAGCTGAAGACTTGAACTACTCACTGGAGTTATTTCAGCTCTCTGTAAGTTTGTTGTATGTAAGTGAATGTTTTGAGATGACTCACCATACATCTGTGGTTTCTGTGAATGAACTGAATTTATTTGGGATGGAGAGTCGATGTATGCTGGAATTGATATAGATGTATTTAGGGGCAACTGCGAATGCATTGTAGAATTTTGTGGCTGGGAATTGGAATATTCTGGAAGAGTTGTATTTTCTGTTTGATGTGGCTCTAAATGAGTAGAAAAGACATGGGCTTGAGAGTCAGGATATTTTGACTGAAGGTTTGAAATTGGCACATAATTTGCATACTCATGTCTCGATGTTGGACTGCTGGTATAAGTGGCTGAAAAAGGCTGAGAATGTAGATCAGCATCTGTGAAACTGGAAAAGCTGCTACATCTTACAGGCTGTGTTGTAGTGGTTGGCACAGTAGGGAATGCACCCAGCATGGAAGGATGAGAAAATGGTGTTGTTGGGCTTCTGGCAGTGAATGTACTAGTGGTTTGAGTACTGGTAGATGGATAAAGGTATGGAGATGTTCCCATAGGATCACTATTAAGGCCAGGTAGTTTAGTGAAGATGGAATATGTTGGCCTTCCATCTTTTTTGTAACTGCCCACATAGGATGGTCTGTTAGCCATGTAAGAGTCTGAAGAATACAGACTGTTATTAGACTTTTGCATCTCAAGTGTTTTAGCAGATTTCTCAGGAATGACCAGCTTACTGGGTTCTTTGAATCCTTTAGGTACCAGCTACACATTACAAATAAATCTGATTAAAATATATTACCATCAATCTATAGATATTGAAGGAATAAACAAAAATTTAATATTTGAAGTAATTTTTCAATTAGATATATAAAACTTATGAAACAACAAGATTATGTTCTTTGACCAAAAACATAACAGAATGCCAAAAGCCTTTGTGATAGAAAGTACAGAAAATAATAAATCATAACTAAAGAAAGCTGGTAATATGAGCACTTTCAGAAATTATAATTTTCATTTTGAAAGGTGAATTGTGCTAAAAAGCTCTATTTAAACTTTTTTTTAATGTCTCAATATAGAAGATTTTTCTAGTCTTAAAAACATTGCTGCTTTTAAAATCGATTTCTTTCTCTCATCTCTTTTCAAAATATCAAAAGTGACCTAACTTTACTTTGTGTTTGATGCTATGTTTCAAAGACCTAAAATTCTTATTTAAATTGTTTTGGTATAAAATCAAAAATTTTCTTACATTGTCTCTTTGGACAACTATTCGGACAAATCGCTCTAATCCCATAAGCATGCTGACTGCTTGGTCATGACGAGCATCCTCTACGTCCACTCCATTAATTGACAGAATTTTGTCTCCTACTTTTAGTTTTCCATCTTTGGCAGCAGCTCCATTTTCAGCCATACATGAGATGTATATACCCTGTAGAGAAGATAGAAGATGTAAATGCCTTTAATAAGACAAACAAAAGCCCAGAGATTTTTGAGGAGTAAACAAAAGAAATGTAGGAGACCTGTAGAAATATATGAAGTATATAAATGCTTTCCTAATCCAACTTAAAAGAACCTATTAAAGATACACAAGACTTTATGGCCTAGTAAATGATACATTATATGCATGCTTCTATACAGTGTATAATAAAGAAACAGACATCCTCTAGAAATGAGGATAAATTTATAAATTCTGTGAATGATTCTCAGGTCTTGTCTTTTTCCATTATAATGATGCATGGTAGGTAATCACTTATTTAATATTAACAAGAATTTGAGTTCTATACCAAATATAGAAAAAACACACCCATAGACCTAATATTAGATAAACATTAGAGTATTTAAGAAAAATATAACAATTTGCATTAAATGCTGCATAATATAAAGCATTTTTCAGTAATCTTTAAGAAAAGTGACTGAACAAATCCATTGGTTTGTTTCATGACATGATACATCTCATACAATTTCCATCACAGTCCGAAATCAGTCAAAGTCTAAGTGGTGTTGAGGGTTTTAGGAGTTATAACAGCTACAACCTAACAATCTTTCTTCCCTGAGGTTATCTATCTTGTGTAGATAATTGTGACAAATCTTCCAGGAAGTTCTAAAAATCAGCTATGGTCAAACCAGACATCTTGGTTTGACCAGTTTTTGGAATATTGTCCTGCTGTCCCACTACAAAGTATCATGCTTTTCATTTTTTTCAGTACTCTAACTTTTTATACTTGTATTCAGTACTATTGAAAGCCTCTCAAAACCCTGTTTATTTGTTTGATTAAGCACAAAGCTACACAATGGGGTATCTGTGATCTGCCAACCACGAGTATTGATACCCAGATTCCAGCGTTCCAAGTCCTCAGACATACCGCTATGCCACTGGGGGGCCCTCAAAACCCTGAATCAAGGGAAATTACCACACAGATAAAAACGACTCAGTTTAATATTTGCTGCTTCCTCTGAAGTTGGCTAAAGAGTAGGCTGCAGCAGATGACATGATGTCACTACTGGATACATCAAGATGAAGCATTCACCGAGTATGTTATTTTGCACCTGCCAAAACAAAGAGAGATATTTGAATGCAAATGGCAGGTGCTTTTCACAGCCAATGTTCAGTTTCAAAGACAAGGAGCACTTATTTAAAGTAACTCAAGAGTGAAGATGGTTGACAGTTATTAAGAATTTTACAACAAACTTCTGGCCAACACAAAGTTACTCAAAAAAAATTCACTCTTCAGGGAGGTATCTGTAGCAGCAATAATGTAAACAGCAATAACATTTTCATTTGATGATATTTATTATTTGCATATTTCATTGTTTATAATTTTTCCTAAAAAAAAAGAGATGGGGTCCCAATTTTAATGATTTAAAAATTGGAATACCTTAAAATCAACTCATTATCTACTATGCCATCCATTATATTCTAGTCAACTTCTTGAAGATTAGCTATTAGGAGTTTAATATTGAAATCAAGTGCTGAAGATACTTATAATTATTTAATATTAAGAAACTGAATAAGAGAAAATTCTAATTAGAAAAAAAAAGAAGTTAGTTATTGATTTACTTAACATAATCCTAATATAACTGTGTAAAAACCTACTTGACTGTCTTCTTTAAAGGAATCCGAATCATGACCTCCTGATATGCTAAGTCCAAGTCCACCATGACTTCTAATTAGTGTAGTATAGACAATCTGCAGTTAAAATTTATCATTATTATTAACAGAAATTGAATGGTTTGAAAAATGAGCTAAAATCTTCTTCATTTCTTAATACATTTTGGATCTTTTTATTCTTGGTAGGAAGAAAGAAAGTAAACTATCATCATAAAAAAGTTAATATGCAGGTGATCTCATTTTATAAAATTAATTGTAATTTAGTGCATATATTGTATTAACATTTTCAAGTGTATGTTCAAAAGCAAATATTTATAAAAATTAAAGATTTGCTTTCGCTTCCCAGAAGGTATTATACAGGCTTCTGTTATTAAGCATCTTTGCTTTCAAACACTTGCCTAAAGACACAATTTTTTTTAAAAACCCGTGGTTCAATTTCAAGAAGAAAAATTATATATAAACAACAGAGTATCTTTCTGACACACAATTATCACAATCTTTATGCGTGTACCTTAATATATAGTGAAATTTTTCAAATATATCTGATTTATTGAACTTTAATATAAACACACCTCATGTTTCATCTCATACTCTACATCATCAGAGAGAGGGTTGAATGTTGATACACTAGAAAATTCATGAGTTTGTTCTGAAGTCTTAGAGTTACTAACACCTTCTTTTTGTTGTTGGTTTACACGACTAAGTAGACCAGGATATGGAATAACAGCATCTTCTGCTACTGGTTTTGACAGATTCTCAGAAGATAACTCCTCACACTCTAGCTCTGCAAGATTGTTTACTCTTTGTTCCAGACAAGGTGTATCCACTTCTTTTTTTGACTCTTGATGTTCTTTGAATGGAGGTAGTGGAGATGGATCCTACAAATAAATAAGGAAGAAGGTCTGTACTTAAGAATTTGATGACTAACATGATTAAAAAAAAAGAGAGGATGACTGGGCAAATATGTTTAATGTATAGGATAAATCTCATGTATATATACATTATTGTGCATAAATTAAAGACCACTATTCAGTCTCTTGTGAAAAAGGTGTCCAAGATGAAATATACTAAAGATGCCAATCTAAAATCATTATTTATCTGAATACCTTCCAAATCATGTATTTGGCTTGAATAAATTCTAAATGAGCTGTAAAAATATCAGAACTGAACAGCTATGTTTCTGAAAATTGAGGCAAGTAGCTTTTAAAAGTTTTAACCTGTGGTTATTAACACTGAAGTCCAACTTCAAATAATATTTCTATACATTCATATATTAATTATTTATTGTAAAAGTATTAAAAAAACATTTTTTCTTGAGCTTTAGAATATTATTTGCTTTTGTGAAAACTAAAAAGTGGATAACATTTTCTTTAGTTTGTGACTATTCTACTTTCAAGTATGAAATATCGCCTCCAAGATGCACACATTCTGATGGAGTAAGACACAGCAAATTAACTTTATATAAAGAGGTCTAAAGTTAGCAGTCAATTTTTCCAAAAACAAAAGTATTAGCTACTGGAATTAAAAAAATAATCAAAATATTCAATGAAACTGGTACCATGATGACAAGAACAGGCCCAGAAGACCACCTAAGTTTTCCAGATCAGGAAAACTTAGGTGTGTTTAAATTACATAATAGAGTATGAAAGTTTAAATCAAATTCAATTACCTGAATTCTGAGTAAAAGTTCAGTAATGCTTTGCTGATATTGTTTGTCATATACTAGGGGAATGTGATGAGAACTCCTTCCCCAACATATTCAAAGTAATCAGTAAAGCTCAAATGAGACTATGCTACGGATGAAGAAGACTTCTAATTTTTCAAAAAGAGCTCAAAATGAAACAATCAGTAAAGAGCTACTGAATTTTTACTTGCAATTAAATTGGGTTTAGTAAGTTTTAGTTTTTAGTCAACAGGTAAATTTATTGACACAAATATCCAGTAGTGAAAGAACTGATATGGCTTTTACTAAATTAATTCATCAGTTTTGGTCCAATATATGAACTTTCATGCTAGTTTGTTGAAATATTTTACATAGAGAACTCATCTATTGACTTCAAACAGTTTTATAAATTTCTGTACAGATCTGATTGAATAAAAAACAACATACAACTGTAACTTTTTAATTTGGTGCAATGTAACTTCAACAAATAATTAGATCCTTATATCTCAGATAATTATGTAAAATATAAAAGAAATGCAAAAATGCAGAAACTAATTCTTCTTTGACGAAATCTTAGCTATTACCTCAGTGTGGCTAAGGAAGTTGGGAAGTTCACGTAAGATCACTAGTTTGATATAATTTCCAGCTGTCTTCAGTATCTCAACAGCCTCATAATGGTCCACATTTACTACAGATTTTCCATTTACCTACAATTTTAATAAAATTAAAGGAAATTACTGTATGATTATTCTACTTTGCTTATGCAATCTTATTCCAGGTAAGAAAATAAAAACTCTGAACAATTTGTGATCCATTTCCTTATTTTAGCTAGATATACATACATATATGTACAAGATGGTTTTTGGAAACAGCTTAAACCCCTACGCTTAAAACAGTTTTTTTTAAAAGGTTCAAGCAATATAGTTTAACACAAGGTATGATGTAGAACTCTAAGTATAAAATAAATCTGTGGAAACTGCAAACAAGCATATATTATTTTGCTAAGGAAAGCAAAAATCAAGCAATTATGTATTTATTATAAACACCTGATATATATATATATATCTAGCATGAAAATTATAATCAGATTTTAGAGATTGCTGGAATAGATATAAAACTAATGTACTTCTCATCATAACTTTGAGATTCCAATAATTTTTGTATATAATTTTGTTGAAGAAGCAACTAAAATAGAAGTAAGCTTTGTAATTTAGGGTTATATCAGACTTTCTTTATAATATAATTTTGTTACTTCAGCCAGCTAATTATTAACCTTAGAATTATTGATGTTTTAAACACATTTTTTTAAACTGTTCTGAACTAAATTACTTGTGGGTGCAAAACTTTCAGGGTTACAAGGTTCCTATTAAAAACATACAAGCAACTTAAAAAATGCACACATATAAAAAAAAATTGAAATTGATGCCACTAATTACTGCAGAGTTGTTGTTGTTGTTTGTTATTAAGTACAAAGCTATACAAAGGGTCATTTGTGCTCTGCCCACCATGGGTATCGAAACACAGTTTCTAGCAGTATAAGTCTGCAGATATACCACTGTGCCATTGGAGGCTTACTGCAGGGTCCACTGATGCATTTTACACGAGTGAAGATTTATTTTACTCACAATGGTTAACTTTTATATGTAAAATGTTACTCTGTATAATTTATAAAGTTATCTCTGTACCTTTGTAAAAATTTTCTAAAAGTATTTCAGAACCCCCACCCTCCCCTCCAAGCCAGTTCATAATCAGGTTTGAAACTCTTTAGTTTCAAATTTTCAAAAGGTGTTTTTAGTTCATTTTATTGTTTTTGAGACCACCAATATAAAAAAAATTATGTTTTCAAACTATTTGACTTAGAAAAAAGAAACATGTCAAAAGACCACAGATATTCAGCTATATTTAGTATGTTGACAAATTTTATCTAATTTTGTTTAGGGGTCAGTTCTTTACACTCACTGTTATGATGTAATACAAACAGAGAACAATATAAAAACAAATCAGTAATTTGAGGGTTAAAAGGAAACAAATTACAGACTTTTTCATAATATACCGCTAACTTACAAAAAAACTTGAAAGTCTTGCACCTTGAAACTAGGCAAGGGTGAGTACTTGTATTTATTTAAAGAGAATTTCCCAAATACATATCAATAGTATCTCCTTGCCTAGATTTCATGTATTTTACAAGGACACATGACATCATTAAGTTTTAATAAAATTTTATTTGACCTCTACTTGTAAAAACTCTATCTTGTAAAAATAAAACTGTAATTGAAATATTTCAGTTCAATTATACATTTTATTAACATTTATTATGGATAAAGCTTAGAAAAAATAGATAAAATATAAACCTTAATTTCCATTTTTGCCTCCTTAATTATAATTTTTATTTGAGGAGTAGAAATATTTAAATTTCCTGCTTGCATTGATAAAATTTGTCAACATACTAAATATAGCTGAATATCTGTGGTCTTTTGACATGTTTCTTTTTTCTAAGTCAAATAGTTTGAAAACATAATTTTTTTATATTGGTGGTCTCAAAAACAATAAAATGAACTAAAAACACCTTTTGAAAATTTGAAACTAAAGAGTCTCAAACGTGACTATGAACTGGCGAGAGCTTGGAGGGGAGGGTGGGGGTTCTGAAATACTTTTAGAAAATTTCTACAAAGGTACAGAGATAACTTTATAAATTATACAGAGTAACATTTTACATATAAAAGTTAACCATTGTGAGTAAAGTAAATTTTATGTGTATATATATATATATTAGTTTTAATGATATATATTGTATTCCAAACTTTATTTTAATAAACTGGGTTGGTACATGATGTCATTAGTCTTGTGACTATATTATTGCTAATAAACATGTGTAAAACAAGGCTTTCAGGTTAACAATTAAGTATACATCTATGTCACATCAGCAACTAATTTCTAGGAAAAACTAATTAGAACCCAGTTGACAGGTGTGTGTGTGGAGGGGGGGATTTTGAGTTTTGGAACATAACAATTGAAATGTTATTGAGACTACTATTTGGGATGGGACTGGGGAGGGACAATGTAGTTAACTACATCAGTGAAATACCAATATGCAGTGCAACCAAGGCAATCTCAAAATTAATTATAGTATTTCTGCCTTTATACTCGTAGGAAAATCTTAAACATGTTCCAGATCTTAGATCTGGCAGAAATTAAGAATTATGTCACAGTGTTGTATTTATTTCATTATAAATTGTAAATGTACAAAAGGATTGAAATTTAGGTTCAAAAATGTTCAATGATTATCATGCTTTATGTCTGAGGTTTTTGTGTGTGTGTAGTTGCAGTTATGTATTATTAATTTTTATCAGTAGTTATACATTAAGTAATTTACACTACCAATACCTCTATATGTTAAATGTTTTGAGGTTATATCATGAAAGAATGGTTGAATATAATAATGTTAAAGGAACTTAAATATTCCATACACATAATTCCAATTTTCACCTATTATTATAAAGATAATGGGAGTTTTACTGAATAAATTACTCAGATACATATTTAAGTACTTTCCCTTCATAAGAATGATCTGTACCACAGTCTACAGATGTATGTGTGTGTGTATTAATATATATATATATATATTTTTAATTTAAAAAATATTAAAATAATAATTATAATGCAAGACTGCACTGGAACTAAGGTATACTGGTCTTAATGGTATTATCAATAAGACACAATAAAGTATTGAAATTAATTGGTGAAGAACTTGTTTATTTAAGGATGTTTGTGCAAAGGTTCTTAATGGTTATCTGCACTAGCCATCCCTAATTTTGAGCTGATAGATTACAGGGAAGGCATCTAGGCAACAGCACCCACTGTCAACTCTTGGGTTTTTCTTCTCTGATTGAACATCACTCTTATCATGTATCTAAAATTCCAAAACATGATTTTTTTTTTGTATTAATAGGTTGCGAATGATGGATCCCCAATTCTGTAGTTTGGAAAGCTAACCATTGGTCCACACTCAGCACACAAAGATCTTATTGAAACAAATATGTCAAATAGCTATTACAATGAATGCAGGTAGATAACAAGTTTTAATAGTCTTGGTTCTTGTTCTTAGTATTCTTCTTTTGTTTTTAATGTAACACAGAATTTTTATTTACCATAAGAACTTTGTCACCAATCTTTAAGCCTGACTGACGTGCTGGTCCTCCATCAGTGAGACGAGAAATGAAAATTCCCTAAAAAATAAAAAAATGCAGAATATATGAGAGAATATGTCATCCTAATTTTATACGGCTAATACAAAACCAAGCAAAATGAGGAACTTTCCATGGTGTTTAAAACTTGTTATTTCACAACCCATATTGTTAGAAATAATAATCAGAAGTAACACAGGAAGAAATTGTCAAATTAGCACACTGTAAACAATAAATACGAAAATAACTTTGGAAAATCTGAGTCTGAAATTTACAGATTATCAAAGAATGTAAAACCAGTAAGTTTGTTTTATTCCTATACTTTTTAGAGAATGCTGGTTGTACACCATTTAAAATAAGTAGGAGTACACATTTACAAATATTGTGTGAATGAGCAAATATTTTTGATAAAAAAAACAAAAAATTCATATAAAACAAGAAGTGTACTATATGTGCATGGCAGTTCAAAACAGCCATGCTTACCTTTCTATAATTAGAAAGACAATATAACTTTATTGAGCAATCAAGTTGTAAATAGGACTAGGATAATCCTGAAATATACTCACAGATGCATATTCTCACAATCACGCATTTAGTTTTAGTCTTTTTCTTTCTGTTAATAAAGGAAAGGGCATTCCCCTCTATTCCCCCTTAATTTGAGTATTGTCTTTATTCGTGAATATTCCAGAATATTTAAAAAAATTTTCATGTAGGTGATCTGCATTTAGTTAACACCCTTGTGAACAGGATGTAAATAGTCATAAACCTGTTTTAATTCTTGCCTTAGGCTACAATTACATATAACACTCAAAGGAGTATACAGTGATCTCTTGAGCCACCTATGTTTCATGTGAGATTTGCAATACACTTTTATTGGTGTCATCTTCTTTTACCAAAGTATGATTTTACCTGTGAATACCATGAGCAACTAAAACATGCAATAGGTGAAGATAAATGTGGCCCCCACAGAAATATTTCCTTCTATGTTCCCCAAAACTTGATTATAAGCTTTTACAGGCTGATGTCTACATTTATTAACTCTTTCCAAACAGGCATCATTTTCTGTGCATGTCACAAGATTTTACTGAGTTACATTCAAAATTTAGTTAAACTAATTTATTATCATGGTATACCAATAAACTTGGCATCAAAACATAGCTAATAATTCAAATTTCAATATAAGTGTTAGGTTCTTAACTTTATAAAGCAATGTTTAAAAAATCCTGAATTTCCCCAAGTCTGAGAATTGTGATATTTGCTCATTTGATAGATTAAAACTTTGGCTTTCTATTGGTTATAAATAATATAGTATTAAACATAAGAGAGAGCAATTTGTGAAATAGAGAATGTGATAGGTGGGCATGGCAAGAGAAGTCTGATTTTCTAGTTTATGTCTCTGTAAAACAATAAGATTGAAGGCTATACAAATTATACTTTACCTGAGTAATAATGATATTATGAATGGTTCATATCAAATTCCCTACTTTTCAAAGGGGTGGTAAATAAAGTGGAGAAGAGGGAAGACCTATAGACTTATTATATTACATTGTTTTCTGTATATAGAATTATCTATTTTGCTTTCAGTTGAAACTTTATTCCCACAGGAAACACACAGGTGAGTTTATCTGAATTTTTAAAGGCTCTTGTTGCATAGTTGGAAAGCCAGAAAAATGATGATAGTTATATAACATTGTCTACATTGTATGTGTTATTATTCTGTGTTAGGTGCATTATTTGATTAAATAAAAAACTATTTAGTGCATTGTACCATTAGTTTCAAGAAGTAGGGTTAAGTTTCATCAACAGTTAACAGCAAAAAAACAAAACAAGGGAGAGTGAGGTAAGTACTATATTTCTTGTTTTTCATGTGATTTCTTTATTTATTGTTATAAAAGTAACTAAAATGCAAAAATTAGAACTTTTTAAGTTAGATAAGATTAGATCAGGTAAAATAAAGAAAAATAAAATAAATTTTCATAAGGTATACTTGCAAGTAACCTGTGCCTTACATAATTTGATAGTGTAGTGATTTACAACTTGTGTGCTGGGATTATTAGTCAGACATGGTTCAAAGTGCAATAAAACAATAAAATTTAAGTAGAAACATATGTATACTGTTATGAGTTTTAAGCTATTTAGGATAAACAAATATAGTTTCATGTTACAATTTGAAGTCATTCTAGAAAGAAAAAAAGGGTAATTTAGATTTACTTGGTATTTTTTATGGTGGTTATTAGGTCGGTCAAATTGACTAACCTCATATAGAGTTAGGGTAGAGAATATAACAAATAAAATTTAAAGTTTTACCAAAAAAAGAAAACATTTGAAATCTATTTAGGAGGTGTTGGAGATTATGCAAATAAAATTTGACAATTTTCAGATGAAGAAAAGTATTTTAAATCTTTACGTGAAAAATCACTTTGCACTAGGAGCAATCAACACTTTGACTCCATATATTCATGGAGAAATTTTTAGTAAAAATATTTCATTAAAAATACTGATTTTTTTATCTACAAAAGACTCTTAATGCTTTTCTGAAGCATGTGAAATTTTGTGAAGAAAAATAAAACATATTAGAAGTTATAGTATGTAAAAGTAAATTTGGGGTCATGAACTTGGCCGATATGACCAAGTCTGTAGCAAGAGTGTTAATAAATAATTATTTTGTCTGTGTATATCCTAATCAAATTTTACTAAAATTTATCTCTTACTTCTTACTTTTTGTTGTACAATAGCATGAAAAATTACAAAAACTCTTAACCTTTAATGGTGACTAGAATTAGTGCAATAAAACTTTGATTCACTCAAAGAAATTATGAATAATTTGTTCTATAAGGTAATTCTATACTCTGTTTGTAAGTTCCAATTTTAAAAAATATAACTTTAATCATCTGAAAAGAAGACATGAACATTTCTTTTATATGAATAATATAAAATACAGTAAGCCATAAATGTACATACCTCATCTTCACCTTTGTAAGGTGTTGAACCCTTGCCTCCTGCAATGCTAAGCCCTAATCCTGATGAATTTCTGTGAATGATAATGCTATGCACATCTTCTACCATCTCTCCAGGCACAGGGCTAGTTGTAGTGAGCTGAGAAGCTGCAGAACAAATAAAGGTATGTTGAAACTTCAAAAATCTACCCAAGCATATGCTAAATTAGATAATGAAATTTCTTGTGTACGAAAGTAAAACTACAAATTTAATAATAAATAAATGGTATGACAGTTGTGCAACTTTTTAAAAGGTAGAGAAAGAAGAATATGTTAAATTTTGATATTTTGCAGCTGACTTTTATCATTGAACTTTAGGGTTTTTTAAGAAGAAGTGTACAATAGTATTTCAATAACAATAATATCTTATGACAAATATAATTACAGTAATACCCTGTTTAGTACTCAGGAATGGTTCCTGAGAATAGAGCTCTAAACAGGGTAATTTTAACATTACATATATGGAGATATGTAACTGAAGGCATTGTTTCTTATCTGTGAATGATGTATAAGTGCTTTATTTAGGTACTGGTAAATTTAACATAAATTACTCACTATAATATCCTCATCGCTGGAAAAAAAGCATTTTTATTAGCCTGCAATCTTGTTTGGTTACAGAGCCATCAAATAGAAAATCAGACCCCTCCTGCCATGCCCACCTGTCACATTCTCTCTTTCAGGATTTGTCAGTACATGTAGCTCTCACTTATGCTTACAACTATATTAGTTATAACCAATAGACAGGCAAGGTTTTCATCCATCAAATGGTGTATTATATTATGTTGTTTTATGTAGGTGTATGACATTTTGATGGTTCATATTGCTTTGCTAGAAATGTCAGAAAAATTGTGATAGATATGGGACATTGTTTTTTGCATGTTATTATTCTACGTTCTTTGTTGCATTATTTTATTGAATAAAAATTATTTAGTGCAATACTACTATTAGTAGTGTTCAGAGTATTATGGATTTTCATAATGTTTTTTCTCTCTCATAAAAAAAGAGCTATATAATGAATCAACTTAAAGCAAGGTCTTACTGTAATTATAATCATGCTACACCAGCTTAGGAAAAGCATTCTCATTATAATAGATTGTCTTACTGGCACATGTGATACTTAATTTTACAAGATACAACATGAATAAAACAATAACTATAAAATCAACAAACTCATAAATAAAAGTATTTTTCATCTTTCAAAACTATCAATAAAAGATAAAAATGCTCACCACTTCCTGGAGTCAGTGATCCCAAACTGTCTTTACATCTTTCTATTTGCTGAATGGAAGTTTGTGGTTGAGGAGGGGAAGGTGGAGGTGATGGGAGAAGCTCCTCTTCTTTTCTCATTGTTTGTGCCAGAATTTCAGAGACCTTTAAAACAGTAAGAAGTATAATATTAATGAGACAAAAACACACATAAGACTTAACTATCTTAATCATAAGTCTATTCAGAGTTTAAAACTATTTGTTCTGTTGTCAAAAAACATTATTGACTGTTTTTCAATTATGAGATCCCACACAATTTCTATATAACTGAAATACAAAATAGTGAAAGCTAATGTTTGTTATATTTACTTCAATTTACCTCTGTTTCAAATTGAGCACTTCAGAAAAATAATTTCAGAAAAAAGAAGAAAAGTATTAACTTTCAAGGTTGTGTATGTACCAGAAATGGTAAACCTAGCCCCATCTAACCCAAGTATTTGTAAAATGAAAAATTATTTTATGCTCTAAAAACTTATGATAGATCTCAGCTGTTTAATACTACTGAAAGTTATAATGTAATATTTTACACAAGAAAACTACATTCTTGAAATTTCTGCATGAATGTACCAAATAAATAACTCACTTTCTATACTATAAATTTAGTATTATGAGCAGCATAAGGAACGAACTCTTCAAAAATTTTTAATTATTGCATCTGAGTAACAGTTCAAAAGACTTTTCACACTTATCTCTTTTTAACACTTCATTCGCATTGACTTATCACACAGAGGCGCTAATGGTATATAGTCCATAGAGAAAGAGAACCCATCCTATATTTCTTCACTCATTTATTCAGATTTCTTGAACTCTTAATAATAGCCACATCTACACAGCCTACTCAATAAACTACACAAACAATATCATTTTCAAGGCATGTTAATATTGAAAAGATCATTAAACAAACATATTGCTTTTTAAAGAGAGCAACAGTATATAAGTGGTTCAGATAAATATGTGAGACTTATATTGTTACACTATCATATTATGTCATTCAAAAGTAACAAATACTCGAATCTGATTAAAACTAACACTAGTGAGACTAATTTTAATACATTCAATGTTGTAAGTGGTCATTGGTATTGGTTCAGTAAATTTTTTCATAGCTTCTGGCATAAATATATTCATACCAGTTAAACTACTATGTACATGTCACAGTTGTAAAAACTGTCACACTTGATCGTTCCATATTTAATAAATAATATATGTTTATTCAGGAATACTAAGGTAATGGTTTTCAAATTTTCATGCAGGTTTCCTGCATGTAGTTAACTGACATCCTTGTAAACAGGATATATAAGGTTGAATACTTATGCTAGTACTCTATCTTAGACAAAGATTGCGTACCAACATTCACCCTGTAAAAGCTCAAACTTGCTTTACCCTGTTTCTATATCATTACTACACTGGGGTGCAGGTCAAACTCAAGTCAAGGGATGGTGCAGAAATAGAACTTTGGACTAACTTAAAAAGTGTAATATCATTATTATTGTATAGACATGCCTCTTACGTGCTCCAACAACTAAAAGTTAGTAATAATAGAATCAGCCAGTAACATTTTAAAGAACATCATTGTGAATGAATATTTTGTTTCATCTGTTCACTTGTGTTTCCTTCTTTTTCATTGCTGATAACCCATTAACTGCAGATGACGGATATTTCCGTCACTGAAGTTCTATGGCTCAGCTGCGAATGACGGAAATATCCATCAATCGCGCATACATAACTATAACTCTATGTGATTGACGAAAATTTCCATTTTATTGTGATTGATGGCAACTCAGCTTTATCTGTGAGTCAGGGTATCAGATTGGCACTCCCACCTCCAAGCAATCAGTGCTCAAAAGCTATTTAGTCGGAGAGGATCATTTCAAATTTTTTTCCTCCCTTGAAATGGCAAAGTGGGTTATTGTTGATGAAGAGCTTTGCCAATACCTATGTGAAAGCAACGAATCAAGCTTAGATTTATCCTTTGATAGTGAAGAAGAATTTATTAATGAAGTCACAATTGATGATTTATCTGATAATGAACAAACAAATGTACCAAGTACTTCGCAACTAGCGTGGTCACTCATTGGAAGCAAAAGAAACTTTTTTACTTTTAGTGGAGATTCGAGTGTCAAAATAAAGGAAACCAATCTTGATAATGTTTTGGAGATTTTTGAATCTATTCAAAATGCTGAAATAATATCGAAAATCATCTCGGAAACTAATGCGTATGCTAATGAAATTTGCAAACAGAAATTCATCTCAGGATTATTGAAGAAAAAAGTAGACTACAAAATTGGAAAGACACAATTGTCGGCAAAATGCGTGTACTCGATGCAATGTTGTTAGTGATAGGAATAATCAAAAAGCCTGATTTTCAGATGTATTTTTCAAAGAATCTTGTGTTGGCAACACCTTTTTTTTGAGAAACAATGCTGAGAGATAGATTTCTCCTTCTCCTGCAACACTTGCACTTCTCTGCTTCTAAAGACTCTTCAGATAAATTATATAAGATTAGAGATATTCTAAACTTATACAAGGAGTCTTTTCAGAGTGCATATTTCCCTCAAAAGAATATATGCATAGATGAGAGCTTACTTCTATGGAAGGGTAGATTAGGATGGAAGATGTACATCCTGCTAAAGTGTGCTCGATTTGGAATTGAGGGCTACTTTCTTTGTGAATCATGCACAGGATACGTGTATAACTTCGAAGTTTACACTGGAAAGGGAAAAGATTTTCAAATGCCTCCTTGTGCTACTGAAATTGCACCTGAATACCTAAATCATTCAACGAAAGTCGTCCTGCATCTAATGACAGACCTTTTGGATAAGGGCTTTTATCTTGCAATGGATAACTATTACTTTTCACCACCTCTTTTCAATTTTATAGTTTCCCACATGACAGATGCAATTGGAACTTTGTAAAAAAATCGAAAAGAAATTCCAAAGGAAGTTTCAAAAGCAAAGCTAAAAAAGGGACAAGATATTACCATGTATAAAGGTAAACTTATGGTCATGCAATGGTGAGACAAGAGAGAGGTGATAATGATAAGCACTACCCATGATGCTGAAAGAAAGACTGTAAACGAAGATAACTCGGAAAAGAGCAAGCCTCTTGTGTGTATCGATTACAAGAAGGTGATGGGAGGCGTGGATCATATGGATCAAGTGATTTCATCCTATGATGCAGCTAGGAGTCATCTAAAGAAATACTACAAAAAATCTATCTTAGATTCTTTGATATCGTTGCATTGAATTCCTTTATAATTCATAAGAAGCTTGATGAAAAGAATACATTGCTAAAGTTCAAAATAGAACTCGTAAAGTGGCTTATTGAGAAATATGGGGAATGCACCTCCAAAGCAGGAAGATATGCCCAATCATCATCTCCTAACCGCCTCACAGTGCATCGCTTTCCAAACTTTACTCTTCAAAAAAGAAGGAAAACCTGGAAGATCATTTCAATGCTGTGTTTGTGCCGTGTGTGAAGACTATAATGTTGGGTTATGCATAGTACCATGCTTTGAAATCTACCATACAAAAGTCGATTTTTCTAAATAAATAAATAAATAAATATATATATATATATATAATAGTTTCCTTCTAAACCATTTTCTTTAAAGGAATTATATTATTAAATTAGCAAGGCTATGTTTTTTATTTATGCTATTTAAAATCTTATTCAAGTAAGAAAAATTAACTGAAAAAAAGATAAACTAAAATAGTTTACTAATTGCCCTAAAAATTAAAGTTACCGCAGTAGTTAGAAAATGGCAACTGAGCTGCTCTTGCTGCAGTTAATGGGTTAATGTTCAATTTATTCTCTGCTTACATTCTCTTAATCTGCTACTTATTGTGAATTACTTACAGCTTATCTGTTGACAAATCAGTGTACTTGAATACCATATTCATATTCAGGGAAATATTGAATCTGTTCTTTGGAACACATTATTTATTGCTTTAATATATTTTCTGAAGAACTTTCCAAATTTTTAACACAGTCCTATAAGATACTTCAATATAATAAATTGAAGTAAAATCTGTTATAGTGTATTCACACACACACACCTCTTTCTCACATTACCTGTCATGAATATTTTTATACAGTGGGTATAAATATAATAGATAAAAAAGATAGATTAGAAAGTACAAAAAAAACTACAATTTTCTAAAAAAAACATGTTTTTATCCAAAACACTTTCTTGACTGTTAATGTAATTTTTTATATCTTATTATACAAGTGAGCTGTGGTGCTGCTTTAAAAAAATGGAATTATGAAACTATAAGCATTACTTTCTCAATAGAAAACTAAATGTAGCTGAACACAGGACAATCATGGTTTGCATATTTAAAATTACCTTTTCTTCATCCTCTTTTGAAGTAGATGGATTGATGCGTTTGTTTTTCAGATGGTGTGGAGTATCCCTTCGCTGAAGTTTCTGGTGATGTTCTGGCTGGTCCTCATTGTCTGAGGTAAATCCTACTTTTCGTTCATCAACCTAAGAAACATTTGAAATCTGGATAATTCTAAAAAGACTGATTAAAAGACAGTTGCCTCCTTATCCTATTTCAGTTGGAAGAAATGTTTTTTTTTAGATATTTATTTTAAAAATGTTCTCCAGATTTACTTAAAGAGAAAGTTATAGTTTAACATTTTTAAAAATATGTAATGTTGACTATAGTACTTAAATGACTGTGTACCTCAAAAAATCTTATTACAATATTTGGCTCTACATCTTCATTAGAAGCTTAACTTTCTATAATGAACTCTCTATCCCTCAAATTACGAATGGTTCTTAATATAATGTTTGGTAACAGGTTTTATCCTGCATATGTATTATTATTGCCAGATAATAATTCATACTTATTTGTTTGTGTTTTCATAGTCAGCCTTGAAGCTATTTTTTGAAGTGCAAGGTTTTTGTCAAGGGTATGAGTGTATAAAGCATTTTTATCTACTTCTTTTTGTTGTTTAAATGTATTAATTGCTATTTTTTACATGAAATACAACCAGTATTTGAAATATTTGAATATGAAATTGAAATTCATATACAGGTTTGTTATTAACTACTGTGTAGAAATGCAGTCCACCAGCAAGGACTGATGTTGTCGACTTGACAATTTTTTTCATGAAATTTCTTGTATTTTTATTTACTATATTTAGCTTTCAAATCTTTTTTGATTCTGTTATCACCTTTTAATCTCTTCATGACAATGTATATTGAGAAATAAATAATTAAAACTTTTGAAAAACAAATAATTTTAATCCTCCCCACCATTTTACTCTAAGAAACTTGTTTATGAACAAGGCATAAAAATGAAGTTGAGTAAAATTTTATTTTTCAACATATTAAAAAACTATTTATAAATAAGAAAATTTTATGCTTTCTGCAGAAAAAACATTATTACAAGCATTGAAGCAAATGTTTTACAATATCTAAAAGTTAACTCTCACTATAAAAGAAACTTTCAAACAACCAATACATGGTTTTGTCCCTCAGTTTGAACAGCTGGAAAAGTATATTGATAGCCAAAAATAAAGCCCATGACACCAAGCCAGAGAAATCTCGGCTTTAATCTAGGACTTTGTTGTCTATGTTCAATTTATTCACCGAGTTATATTCTGGCTCTTTGTGCATGAGGACACATTGTTTCTTCTAAGTGAAAGTTCATGACATATATAAAGATGATCTTCTGTAATGTAACAACAATAAAATTTTCTCAGCAGCTTTGTTCTTGCTTATAGAGTTAGGTTATTCAAATTTTCATCTTAGTCAAGAGGATATAGAGGGCTAGACCTCTTGAATTTTTAAAATTAGAACCAAGTGTTAGGACTTAATCATAAACAAAGTTTATTTTCTAAGTTAAGTGTTTCACACCCTGTAAATAAACACATTCAAGTAGATAAGGTTTTTTAACTGACTTACTCTTGTTGATTTCATTTTACATTTCATAGATTTCACTAAATACTTTCAATTATTAAAGACACAACACAAACATAAATAAACACTAGACAACCAACAAAACATTAGATAAAACAAAGTTTAACTTGTAAATAGTTTTGTAATTTCAAAGCCTTATCCGCAAAAACTAATAATGTTTTAAATTTTCTTTTTAGATAAAATTTCTTTATAAAAGCATTTTGTTCTTCTAATAAATATTATGTTAAGAAGTCTTAAAAAGAACAGTATCAAATAAATTACAAGTTTTAGCATTATTTATTTAGATATTTTGCACAAATGACCAGTATAAACATTATTAGTTTGCAAAATTTTTACTTTTTATTTTACTGGTACTCAAGTAAACAGCAAAAGATAACTTAAAATCCCTAAGACACATCTTACTCTGTGGTATGCAAACATACTATGTTTCTTTCTCCCTTAGTATATATATACATATATTTTTCAAAATTGTTGTTCATATCAAGTACAGTTTCTTAATTGAAAAAGTTGGTTAAGGAAACCACTAAGTTCCAATTGCAATTGTTCCACACAGAACTCATGGGCAAGTTTGTTTTAATGTTGAACATACTTTATAGAAATCAACAGAACATAACTTATCTTAAAGTGAAAAGAATGGCAATATCTTGATTAGTATATACTGCCATGCTTTCTCAGTGTCATATTCTTGGCTTTACAATCGTTTGTTTAGCTTGGTTTGTTTTAAATTTCTTGCAAAATTACAACACCTCCACAGCTGAAAAGATGAACATGTTCAGTGACAGGGATTTGAACCCACAACCCTCAGATTTTGAGTCAAGCTCCTTAACCAATAGGGAATGCCAGGCCTGCTTGACAATGGAAGATCAGAAGGATAAACTACGAAGTGAATCTCAATTTAACTAAACTGACTGAGCTTAAAAAATAAGTAAATAAAACAAACAGAATGTACACAATGTATGATACAAAATGAAAACAATCTGTATTTATGTCAAAGACAAAAACATACTGTGCACAGTTGCATTAGGACACTGGACAGTTGCCTTCTACTGGACTCATGAACTGATTAGCTGGCTTCCTTCTTCAAGAAGTTTCACATCAACAAACCCACTTCAGATCCAGTGTAGTAATGTTTAAATCCAATGTTTCTTACTTAATGGAAAATACTGGATTTACCCATAGTGAGACTAGCACTACCCATGTAACTGTTCGTTCTCATTCAACATGGCAACCTCTAGGTATCATCTACCCCTACCAGTGAAGGATGGTGTTGTGTCTACATTTGAGCACAAATAAGCAGCATTACAGCAATATATCCCATGAATGGAGCAGGTTCTATCTCTAGACTAAAGACAGCTAGAACGAAGTCCACTTAATGGTTTTCTGGACAACATGTTATGTGAAAAATGTTAATATTTTCCTTACCTGAAAATTTATTTCTGATAGATAATTACGTTTCTGCACCTCTATTAGGTATTACCTGACACACAACTGCCATAGAATTTTCTGCACATCCCACATGCTTGATGTAGATTTTGGGTAAATATTCCCAGTGACGTAATGACAGAAATTTGGCAGGATCCCATGACATCAAACATATTGAATGTAGTGTCTATTTGAACATTATAAGTTTTTGTTTGTGTGTATATGTGCAAGTGTTTTGCCTCCTCCTTCTTTTTTTTTTTTTTTTTTAATTGTTGAATGTGTACATAAGGAATAGTATGCAAAAAGTGGTGTCAATAAATGTGTGAGGGGCATGGAGATCAAACTTGATCAGTGAAGAAGTTGGTATAGGAAATCAATAGGCAAAACTCGACACACTAAAGCCTCTGGGTAGACAAGAGAATAGTAACTGGAGAGAGTCGAAAACCAGAGACACCTGAAACCACCCAGTGATGTAAATAATAGGAGATGAATGTGGTAGAAGTACACATACCAGACTGCAAGGTCTCTACCAAAGGTTTGCATCGAAAGGAGGCAAAAGAGGTTGTAATATGAGTAATCTAATGGGAAGTGATGTCAGAGAGAGGTCAGTTGGACTAACTCAAAAAGGAGTATGCCAGTCAGATAAACTAACAAATCTAACCAGTTACAGTGGAAGACCCTAGAGGAGGCAGTAAGCCTTGGGAAAAGCATACAATAGTTGTGCTCATGAAAGGGGGTAGTCTGAGTGGGATAGCAATGGATAGCCTTAACTGGACATAAAAGACAACTGTGAATGGAACAATCACATAATGATGAAAAAGAAGGGAGAGAGATAGGAGAAAAACAGCTGATGTACCTCCTAGCAGTCCAAGTCTTTGTAAAAAAGAAGTGGTCAAGGAACAAAGCAATAGGTTCTTACAATATATAGGATGGGAGGAGGCAAGGCATTAATATTCAAATGAAGATGACCACAAGCAAGTAGAAGGAGAAAACAGCTGAAAAAAAGTGAACAGTGCTGGGCAAGAGGCAAAAGGTGTGGATAACACTGTTCGGTAAATGGAAATCATTGAAAGACACAGGTGAAGTTTGTTTCTTTGTTGGTTGGTTGGTTAAGCACAAAGCTACTCAATGAGCTTTCTGTGCTGTGCCCACCATGGGTACTGAAACCTTGTTTTTAGCATTATAAGCCTTCAGACTTACTGTTGAGCAACTGGGGGACTCAAGTAAAGCATAGGTACCAAATATGGGTGCTTTACTGGAAGATGATGTAAGAAATAACCATAGAATTGTCAAAATAGATCCTCAAGAGATAACCTGACAACTGCAACTGAAGCCAAGCCCAAAAAGTTGCAGACATCTCAAGAATGTTGATAAGTAGAGATCACTTCATTGGAGACCAGACCCTGGAGAGAGTGGAGGCATTGGGAACTGCCCCTTCCAATAAGAAAGGAAGACATCGGTGGAAAGATGCAAGTCGGGTGGTGGTGATGGAAAACTCTGGGTTGGGTTATGTTGGAAATATCAAGCCACCATGACAATCAGGGAGGGAAAGATGAATGGAAAGGCAGAAAAGCAGAGAAGGGATCAAAGGACATGTGACTCAGATTCTCCAGAGCCCAATGAAGTGGTCTCATGTGTAGAGAGAAACCAGAAACCCCAAAAGTGAGAGATCTTCACATGCAAAAAGAGAAGGAGAGTGAAGAGCATATAATACCAAAATCTCCATGATGTGAAGTTTCAAAAAAGATGACAGATCCCAGCCAATATGAGAGTCAAGAAAACTCCCAGGAAGATGTCAAAGATACAAAGAATTGGAAGAAAAAGGACAGGTGAGAAGATGAAGAGAATGAGAAGTGGAGTATGTAAAGCGGTGACAGATCTGAAGAAAGAACTTGCACAACACAAAGTCACCAGTGAAAGGAAACTGTATATGAGCAAGGAAGGAGAGGCAGGCACAAAAGGTTCCAGAACCAAGAATCAGGTCCAAGGAAGAATCACCAGTGAGTGTCTTGATGGCCCACCCATAGGAAAGGGAATGGTAAATAGAAATGACAAGATGAAGAACAGGAAAGGGGCACCCCTATAGTACTTCCAAGATTGGGTAGCCAACAGATGTATCCATGGTCTAGTGAGTCAGGAAACCAGGGAATTGAAGTTTATTGGCAAACAGCCCTAGCCCAAGAGGCCAAAGAATCAGGAACACCTCTAAAAATTGGTGCAGTGAGAAAACAGGCAAGACTTTGGTCAAAGAGAGAGGAAAGGAGGCAGACACCTGAAAGAAAGGGATCCAGACTGAGGAGACCCCAAGAACAGAGAAACCAAGAAAGAAAGAGATAAAGAAGCAAAAGTGGCAAACAAAGAAGAACATATGAATATGTTGTCATACCATGTTTCACCACAGCCCTGAAAGGTCATGGTAATTTAAATATCCACTATAATCATAGTACCTTGCCACAGATTAAAATCTGAGACCTGTCACATGTCAGGCTTTTGTTCTACTAAGTGAGATACAAGGCTAACTACTAAATGTCAGCTCCATAAATAAATAAGGCATCTCTGTTTACATAATTGAAGGCAATGCTTGAAGAGGAAAAATTGGATCTCAGGAATTTTTTTTATTTGTTATATTTGTAATCATTGTTTGAAGTAATACAAAGAAGAAGTGTGGTGGCTAGAAAAAACGAAGTTGCAATCAAAGGAATGAAAGTGTAACAAAGAAAAGTAATGTAGTACTAAATAAAAAAAGGCAGTGTATCAAAGTGACTAGAAACTCGAAGAGCACAGAAAAAAAAACACTTCTGAATACAGGAAGTGCTGTAGAAAAAATGAGCCTATTATCATGTGCTAGCACTCATGGGAATTACTGCACATGGAGGTTGTCACTTTTGTATAGGTGCAAGGCTACAGCATTATGATGATCATATCATAAGCTGGTGCAATATCCAAACTCTTTCTTTGCATTCAACTCAGTTGACGTTAAGTTTATTCAGACATTTTTTGGTGGGCTTCCTATTATTCTGAGGTTTCTACCAAATTACTCTGAGGGAAACCAATGAATCTAAGAATATCACAACTCCACACATTAAATGTAAAAATAAAACAGGAGCAACTATATGTAGGGTGGGAGTTTATTCAAGGCTTGTGGCACGTGCAGGAATTTTCGAGGCAGTTGAATACAAGGTAATAGCTTTTAGTGATGCAGAGATGTAGGTAATGTTTCTGCAGCATATATTTAGGATGATAAAGTATACAATGCATGATATGCCTGCCTGCATACCACATCAGTGTTAAACAGAATGATTTTTAAGATTAAAATGTATTAAATTTTAACCCAAATAAAAGGCCTTCTAGTAAAGGTGCCACTTAATACACTTATATTTTAAACTTGATTGTGTTCGTGTTGAAATGAAGATTTTTTCACTGATTTAACTTGTATCCTGGATCTTTCTTTGCCTCAAACTCAGTCGAGGTTAAGATTATTCAGATATTTGCTCCACAATACATTATCTGCTGAGCTTCCCATTATTCTGAGGTTCCTACCAAATTAATCTAAGATAAATCAGTACCTTAAGATTTCATTCAGCAGCAATACTGTAATTGTTGATGACACAGTTTTTATTTCTCAGTTTTATTATAATATGATGATAAGGGCTGTTTTATAGCAAAGACATATACAAGAGGAAAAGAGATTAGTAAATTTATCATTATTGAAGTGTTTCAATCTTTTGTGTTTAAATAGTTGTTTCTACTTCATTTGTATGGGTAACACGTAGAATTGTGGTATGCTCGAGTTTCTTTAAAAAGTGTTATCGATCTATTTATTTATTTATACAGAACCTACCATTCTTGCAACACTATTATTAGACTCTTCTGAGGCAGAGTTCACATCTGTCTCTGGGTCATCTTTCATAACCACTTCTTCTCTAGAGCAAATGATTCCTGAAGTCTCATTTGAAGAGTCTGGCAGTGTGGTACAGCTGATTATAGAATGTTCGGGTGAAAGCTGAGCATAGGAATGGTCTAAGGATGAATCTTCTTGGTCATGAGTTGGGGAGATTTGGATACCAGCCTCCTTTACCTGCAATTGTTCTTCCTGTCTGAGATAGGTAGGTCTTTGCTGAAGTACAGGCATCTCATTTTTTTCAAGTTCTTCAATAGATGAAATCAATTCTTTCTCTCTCTTATGCCTCAAGAAACTCTTTGATAAATGAGCAGGTGCCTCTTGTTTATCATTTGTATCATCCACTATCAAAAATAATGCCTTTAAAATTTCAATAAAAACTAAAAACCAGGTGAACAGTATTTTCACTTACCTGGATCTTAAATATAACAAAAATATTTCTTAACTTCCAAAAGTTCTCTTTCTTAAATTACTTTTTCATGAAATTTCTTGTATTTTCATTTTATCTATTCAGCTTTCAGATCTTTTTGAATTGTTTTATTTCAGCAATATGCATATTATTGGGTATTAATGCAGCTCATTCAGTTAATCTTTTAGTCAACAAGCACTGGATGGCTTCTAACTGATAATGTGCATTTGCACATTCATAAAACATATGTGACTGTACATTTAATCATAAATCTAGATTTCTGATTAATTTGTAAACTGTTGAAAAATAAAACATTTATTTAGGAAACCGTTCATGTCAACTGTATATTCTTTATGGTGACCTTCTAGTTTTGCAGTGCTATTAGCTACAATTCAGTAATGTGACATAGAATAGATGCATCTATTTTGAATTTTCACTGATAAATTACTTTGATAGTGGCATAAAAACTGATAAATATTCAGATTTTTATGAGACAAAATAAACATATATCAAAACCCTAACAATATTTTAATTGCACCACATGATAGATTAGTTCTTCCACTGAATTAGCATTACAATGCTGGATTGAACTGCTAGACTACACTAAAATAGTTGTCATGCTTTCATAACAACAATTCACACAAATTAGACATTAAAGATTTTCATGATATAAAAGACTGTTTGGTTTAAATATTAGTGATTAATTTATATTTGTGAGTGAATATTTTATTATTTTTAAGTTTTGTTATAATAAGAGTTAAAAGCAGATGATTGTAGAAGGTTTTGCTAATAACTAATTGGTGTCGAAAATATAAATCGTGGCCAGACGACTATGTAATAAAGATATAAGTAGAATGAGACGAGACTTCAAAAGGTCATTTCCATTGCAGGGTGAGTTTGTTGTGGTCTGTGGGCAGCCATACTAAGACCCTTTTGTTCAACTTTAACATGTCGATCCTTGGCCTTCTTGTTATAAAAATGCTCCTGACAACCTTGAGCTGCATACAAACTCTGTCGAGCAGGTTGACAGGTTTCCTCCAGTCAGTTTCTGAGGTCTAACACATACTGGTATGTGTTCCTTACTTCTGACTCTTCTTCTCCTGTCTATAGCATATTCAATATTTGCATCAGACCTTGTACTGTTCTTCCATACAGTAACTTGAAGGGTGAAAATCCTGTACTGGCTTGTGGTACTTCTCGATACTGCCTCAAATACTATGCTCATCTATGAGGGGCATCTCCATCAATGCCACTTTGTTTACCTTCCGTCTAGGTGTTGTACTTTGGCATATGTCACACAACATGCAGAATCTATTTACATCTCCAATTACTCCCGGCCAATGGAAATTACTGGTGATTCTCCCTGCTGTTTTCTTTGTTTCTACTTGTCCTCCCAAAATTGATTCATGAGCCAACTTCATCACTTGAGTCTGGTATTCTGTTGGTACTATGATCTGTTTAACTTCCCCAGTATAACTGCCTTGATAGATTCTATAAGTATCTTTCCCATTTGTTTTGTGCTCAACTTTCTTCTGGGCATTGTCCCAAAGTTTCTGCAGTGAAGGGTTTTTCTTCTGTGCTTCCTTCAGTTCCTGCAAACCTAAATTCGGGATATCGCCTTTTGACATTTGCAACAGCTTGATGTCATGTTTGCTCTTCTTTTCTTGAGCTCTGGTGGTGACAGAAGATACTTCATCAATCTTCTTTCTGTCTAGTTCCTCAAAGTTTCTCCTACCTGGTATGTTTCCTTTCACCAAGTCGTGTATTGGTTCCTTGATACACATGACCTTAAGATCTCCTACATAATATGGAGTATCCACCTTTATTTTTGCTATGGGAAATTTTCTCACTTAATTTTCTCAATTAGCACACACAAGGGTACCTTGTCTGTCATCTGATCATTGGATACTAAACTGGTTCTCACTGCTGCACCCAGTATCTCGTAGAACCTTCACTTTCTTGTCCCCAACATAGCCTTCACATATTGGCATATTATGATTTGTTGGCATCTCTTGATATTTATCACAAGCTCCCATCACTATAGGCACTGTTGATACATTTCCTAATTTGAGCCGACCATTAGTCATGCACTGATCAATCAAGTTTTCTTGTACCGAATTTGACAAGTAGTCTTGATTTTCTTTCTTCTGGCAGCAGCATCCATAATGCCAGTCACTCTTTTCTTGTTTCTTCCCAGCACTGTCTTTGTAAACGGCTCCAGCTGGTTTATGTTGAGGTTTTTGCTGTTGTTTGCTGGTAATGGACTTGCATTCTTTTGCAATGTGCCCCATTTTATAACAAACATTATATTTCTTTTTCCCTTCTGTCGAATAACCTCCTGTCATCTTTGGTAAAATCCTGCTTCTGGTCAGCCATTACTGGTTTCCAATTTATATGGACATTCTTGGACTTGCCAGTTATACTACCTCTATGCACTTCCATATACTGTTCTGCCAGCTTGATCATCTTGTCTACATATTTTGGTGCTC